ATTTGGGATTTGGGATTTGGGATTTCGGCATTTGGGATTTTGGCATTTGGATTTTGAATTTGGGTGGCAGGTATAATCGATAGTGCATGTTGCGATTCATCTCGTGGCGTTGCAACTTAAGAATTGCTGGCGTCAGATAATTTTGACAAGATACATCCACTTCTTTAAAATAATAGTTGTGGTAATCCTTATCTTGGCTTGCAGGAAGCTTGCTAATAGTTTCATTCAAGCTAATGAACCAGCTTTCCCTCGACAATAACCTTTCGATTACGGATTCAAGCTCTATAAGAGACAAAGATCCGCTAACATGATTTTTGATGATACCATTATAGGATTCGACACGTTACGTACTTTGTATTCCCGCATTGAATGCACGGTGCGTAAAACAAAGAACCCAAGCCTCCCGACACTGGTAAAGATAACGTTGCAAATAATTGGCGGCATCAGGATATTCAGTTATTAACACAACCCATCTCTCTTCAAATATTTGCTCTACACAACTATTTCGTGCACGGCAAAATGCTGCAAAAAATTTTTTCCACTTTTTGCCATGGTATTTTCCCATAAAATGCTTTTCAAGATTCTTCCGAATATGAAATATACAAAAGTGGTATTTTGTTGTTGGCCAGGAATTATTTATCGAAGCAATCATCGCGGGATCGGTGTCTGTATAAAGAAGGCGTGGCATTAATTCACCTGTTGCATCAAGAAGGCTTTGAAACAACCATGCAAAACTATCTTTGGTTTCATCTGACAAAATGGCTGTTGCTACAAGGCGGGAACGATTGTGATTATCCACTATAATCACAACACACAAGATCAATGAATGACGGTTGGTTTTTGCAGTTGTGTCGAGAAGGACAATATCGTGAAAATGTGCCCACAATTCTTGTTGACTCAGGCGCATCCAGCAAAGCCGTACAAGACAATTTTCTTGGCCTTCAAACTGTGCATCAACGTGGAGTGATGGATTTTCCTGCTGTTGTTTCATTAGATTAAGGTATATCGAGTCAGCATCACTTTTACTTTGATTTTTTTCGCAGCAAATGGAATTAATCAAATTATAAATGTCACGATCGTGAATGTACTTTCCCAGATTTTTATGTCGCAGCACTTCAATAATTGCACCGGAGCGCACACCACATGTTGCAAGTAATCTAACATCCTCTTGTATTTCTGGAGTGAACTTTCGATAACTGGGCGCGAGAGCGGCGATGGTTTCAACAAGTTTGTGATTATGCTGGTTTTCAACTTTTGTGATATAAACCAGATTGTCGT